CCCCTTTCACAAACAAAACCCCCCCCCCCTCCCTTTCGCATCAGGTGCCTCCTATACATCGGAGTGCCCCCCTTCGCATCAGGTGCCCCCTTTCCATCAGAGCCACCACCTTTTGCAAACAATTTGAAGGGAACCCCTAACAAAGACAGAAGGCGCCCCACATTTGATGAAATTCATGTACTTTTTTTTTTTATGACGTATTTTTGGTTAAACAGATTATTGCCCGGGTGAGTGTGGATAACAGAACAAGATCATTGGTCCAGTCATTGCAAAGAGCCACCGATCGGAGACTGTGCATTAATCGTGTTGAAGAGCTCAGCTGCCACCTGCTGGAATTTCCTGAAACAAGAGGTGTTGCAGTGAAGGTAAGTCAAGCTCTACAGTAGTGTTTCCTCAATATGCCAATGGTAGTCCAAATATGAAGTGAAAGTGGCTAAAATCTTAGTAACCAGTGGCACATTTAGGGTTTGGTAGACCGGGCACGCGCCACTTGATGCGGTGTTGCGCTGCTCATGAGCAGTGGTGGTGTTTTGTCCTTTTAATTAAGATGTGCTCCATTGCTCCCATCAGGTCTGACCGGCAGGGGCAGACAATGCAATTGATCGCTGCTGTCACATGTAAACAAGGCAGAGGAAGTTACAATACTGGCTTCCTTTGCTGGTTTCTGACTGATGACATATAATGTAGAGCCCAACAGAAGTAGTGTAAGAATTCCTCTGCCCCATATGTTTCTTTACAAGCGACAACAGCAATCGCTGTGTGTCCACACTGATGGGAGGTCGGAAAGGGGCACAGCTTATCTGAAAAGGCTACTACCTCTCCCCTTTCCTTAAACTGGGGGACCAAACGGTTTGGGTGTCACTACCATCAATGCAGTCCGCACTGATGGAGGTCTTAATGGGGCACACTATAACTAAAAAAGGCATCTCCTCATCCTTGTGGGCCCCAACCTGGGCACCAAATCAGCTAAGCTGTCACATTGCAGTCAATCTTGGGCCACAGTGATGGAGGTGTGAATGAGGCCAGGATCATTCTATTAAGGTATACACATATCTCTGCTGGTACACTGCATATGTCATGCTATATGTTCCCTTTTCTGCTCCGGCTCATTTAATATGCCATGCTGTACGTTCCTTCTTCTGCTCTTGCTCATTCCATATACCATACTGTATGTTCCCTCTACTGCTCCGGCTCATTCCATATGCCATGCTGTATGTTACCTCTACTGCTCTGGCTCATTCCATATGCAATAATGTATGTTCCCTCTACTGCTCCGGCTCATTCCATATGCCATGCTGTATGTTCTCTCTACTGCTCTGGCCCATGTCATATGCCATGCTGTATGTTACCTCTACTGCTCTGGCTCATTCCATATGCAATAATGTATGTTCCCTCTACTGCTCCGGCTCATTCCATATGCCATACTGTATGTTCCCTCTACTGCTCCGGCTCATTCCATATGCCATGCTGTATGTTCCCTCTACTGCTCTGGCCCATGTCATATGCCATACTGTATGTTCCCTCTACTGCTCCGGCTCATTCCATATGCCATGCTGTATGTTCTCTCTACTGCTCTGGCCCATGTCATATGCCATGCTGTATGTTACCTCTACTGCTCTGGCTCATTCCATATGCAATAATGTATGTTCCCTCTACTGCTCCGGCTCATTCCATATGCCATACTGTATGTTCCCTCTACTGCTCCGGCTCATTCCATATGCCATGCTGTATGTTCCCTCTACTGCTCTGGCCCATGTCATATGCCATGCTGTATGTTCCCTCTACTGCTCTGGCTCATTCCATATGCCATGCTGTATGTTCCCTCTACTGCTGCGGCTCATTTTATATGCCATGCTGTACGTTCCCTCTTCTGCCACGGCTCATTTTATATGCCATGCATGTTCCCTCTTCTACACCAACCAATTCCATATGCCATGTTTGACCTTCCCTATTCTTGGCTGCCTACTACCATATACCAGTCTTGTGCGTTCCCTATTCTGCACTGCCTCATTTTATTTTCCTTAGTGTAAGTACCCCATTCAGGCCCAGCAGCTAAGGGTGATAGAATGTTTGGACGACAGGGGCGCAATTACAGTTCTTGTCATTGGTTCTAGTTACTATAGATACACCCCTGATGGAAACTGGCACTTCTGAACATTTCTCAAAAATCTCAACTAATACCAAACTTGCTTAAAAAAAAAATGCCAAGCGCTTTTTTATTTAATTACATGTATAATTATTAGCAGCAAATTGAAATCAATGTGCTGCTAATGCTGCAGATTGCAAGCAACTAGTTAAAATGCTCAGTAGCAGGAAACGAATATTTGGCTGTGTAGCTTAGCACTAACTATATGTTTGAAACATTGTTCCATTTGGTCTTGGAGACATATAAGTAGAATATATATAGTGCAGTGCTTTGAACACTTTACTAAACGCAAACCTTTGCTTTAAAGAAGAACTCTGGGGAAATTTTTATTAACCCTTCCAGTGGGGCTTCCCTCGCACTGCAAGGGTTAACTGCTTGTTTGTGTCTAGGTGCTAAAAAAAAAAAAGTTAGTCACCTGATCATAGGAGCCGGCTTGTTCTTAGACTGGTCCCTGGAGCCTCTCTCCTCCTGCAGCGGTCTAAGAATCCTGGTGCCATCACGCTGTATACAAGTGTATAGACGTGAGGTCGCTGAGGAACAGTCCATCTGTGCAGCAGAGGAAGAGACACGCTTCATTGACTGGAGAAGCAGGCAGTTTGGGTGAGTATAACAAAAACGAGCAGTTAACCCTTGAAGTGTGGGGATATTCCCACTGCAAGTGTTAAACATTTCTCTCTGCGGTTCTTCTTTAAAGTAGGCACTCTTCTGGTACCACTTTCTACTGCTGGAGCCCCAAGAAATACCCAGTACTTCTGAGAATAGGGGCAACATATGACACTTGACCATGTCTCCCCAAAATGCACTGCTCGGGTGCCAGGCTCAAGCGTTCTCTCATTGAGATGAATGGGATGTTTCTCATCTTCAGTGGCTTCTTTAGTTCACTCTCCAGAAGGACAAAGCCATCATTGTTCAGGCATCATCCAGGGTCAGCATCTATGTCCTGGACTAAAATCCTGACTCAGGCATTATGCTGTTTTGTAAGTCCTGATGCCTGCTCGGAATTCTTTATATGTTTGGCTGTGTGTATACCTATTGTCTTGCACAGATCAGCCCCCTCTTACCCCTTACTCTTTGAGAAAGTTTTAGCAGTACCAGTGGGGGAGGGGAAGGACAACTGCTTTCCTCAGGTATAAACAATGGAGCTCATGCCCTGGTTTTTCATTTATAAAAAGCACGTTTTCCTAAAATTTTATTTTTACTGTACTTTGTAACATGTCAGGAATGTATTCATGCGGACCTGTAAATGTACGTTAAAGTGACTAAACATAGAGAGGAAGCATTTTCCTGTTGCAGTTCATTTTGATTTGTGAAGCTGTTCTCATATGGGTGTGATGATCCATGAACTTCACAGCTGAAATCATTGCACACCCTTCACGGCATCATCACAATTATTCACACATGAACCAGAAAAGGTGTAGCCGGACAGGTACTGCTTGTGCCAAATAGAAATAGGCACATGAATTTGTCAAAAGTAGGCTGGCAGTAAGGTCAGATACTCTGTGCTCAGCGCAGCTCAGTAACACTGAGCCTGACAAAATCACAAGCTCAGCATTACTGCGCTCCCTTCTCTGCTATTCTGCCTGTCGCACACGCAGGTGCGGCGGCTGAGGAGTTTTGCTGTTGGGTGGGTACCTGATGATGAAGTTGAGAAACCAGTTCTCCATCAGCCCTCAATCACAAGGAAGGTGGACCTGATGGGGCTGTGGTCTCTCAGCTTCACCATTAGGCACTGCCAGTCCGGTCGCAACAGTTGCTTTTAGTTATTCATTAACTACACCAGGGATGCACCTGTATCGAGTATCAATATTTATATTTCAGTACTCGCCGATACCGGTACTTATGGTAGCATGTAACCGGCTTCCCGGGCAATCAGAAAGCCGGGCAGCAAGTCATTACCTGCTGCCTGGCTTCTTGATTGCCCGGGAAGCAGGCTCCATGCTGTTTGACTGGCTCCATGCTGATTGGCCGGGAAGCTGGCTTCCCAGCTAATCAGCATAGAGGCGGGTCATTACCCACTGCCTGGCTTTCTGATTAGCCGGGAAGCCAGCTCCATGCTGTTTGGCCAGCTCAAAGCTGATTGGCCGGGAAACCGGCTTCCCAGCCTGTCAGCATGGAGTGGGCTTCCCGGGAAATCAGTGAGGCGGGCCATTACCTGTGGCCCAGCTTCCTGATTGGCTCGGAAACCGACTCCATGCTGTTTGGCCGGCACTATGCTGATTGGCTTGGAAGCTGGCTTCCTGGCCAATCAGCATGGAGCCGGTTTCACGTCCGATCAGGAAGCCGGGCCGCAAGTCATTACCCATGTTCCCTCACGGCACGTCGGTCGGAGGAAATCTCCCTCTGACCAGAAGTTCCAGTGTAGGAATAAGTATCGGAGCATTTGGCCGTGCACAAACTGTTGGCACTATATAAATCCTGTATTATTATTATTACTATTATTATTATAATAATGATTTCTCCTGGCCGACACAATGTTATTCTGCTCATGACAGCTGGTACAAATGGCAGATATCCAATGCTTGTATACCATATGATAAATTCACTCCAACCTACTACTCACAGTGAAGGTTGTAGTATATATGACTGTGTGCACTTTCATGGTTATAATGCTACATATTTCTTGGATTATGCCAGCATGCATAGCAGATTTGTTTATGAATGTACAGCTTGATTAAAAATGCCCCTCTATTGTCAGCAATGGAAATGTTTTCTTAATTGCAGGAAAAAGCCATTCCTTATTTATTGCGGCTACGGCAAGCACACGATGAAACCCTCCAGGCAGCTGTAAGAGAAGCCTTAGCTTTGATTGGTTATAACGACCCTGTTAAAGGCAGAGGAATTCGAGTACTCACCATCGATGGTGGAGGTACTAGGTAAAAATGATGTTACATTTGTATTTAATGTCACAAACCATGTCAAATATAATGTTTAGAAAAACATAAAATATGCTTAGTTTGACAGTGTACCAAACACAAACAATCCCCAATATTGCTGCTCTGCTTATATCAATTTTATTGATAAAATGATGAAATTGAAATCCATAAATCGAATGCACTGCACAGGTTTTAATTGGCTCTTACTAGTATAATGTAAAGTTAGAGAAATTTGGATATTTACTTTGTATAATAGGCATGTACCGACACCGGAAGCCCCATTAAGGAAGTTGGGCAGCGTGTAATAACTACCCACCTGGCTTCCTGATTAGCCGGATTTCTGGCCAATCAGG